AGAAGAAGAAGAAGAAGAAGAAGAAGAAGAAGAAGAAGAAGAAGAAGAAGAAGAAGAAGAAGAAGAAGAAGAAGATTTCCTGACACCGAGAGCAATTAATCATTGGAACAGGTTGCCTCCAAGAGTTGTAGGTGCTCCAGCACTGAAGGTTTTCAAGAAAAGACTGGGCAACCATTTGTCTGAGATGGTAGAAGTCTCCTGCCTTGGGCAGCGGGTTGGACTAGAAGACCTCCAAGTACATTCTAGCCCTATGATTCTAAGAGAGTAGCTTGAAATTGCTGAGGTTTTATTGTGATGCCTTCTTCCTTTTTCGACTGAAGCACTAACCCACTTAACAATAAGCAAAGAAGAAAGGGAAGGGAGTTCCTTTCAGTCCTTCTGTTTGTTTAAGTCCTGAGCTGGACATTTGACAACCTCTTCCTCTATTTTGCAGCCCCAAAGATTTATCAAGCTGCCAAGGCTGGTCACAGGTTCCCGTGTTCAGCAGGGCCAGATTAAAGAGTCCTTAAATTAGCTGCAAACCCAACCTTTCCCATGGGGCACCCCCCCCCCCACACCCGCCCACCCGTGGAATTTGACAATCTGGTGTCATATTTCTTACACCTTGACGGCCAGACCCCAGAGAGGAGGAAGGAAAGAAAAGGCTAATCCCAAAATAATCCTTAAACCCACTTGCAGAAGGAAGTACACACTGGAGTTGTTGTTCCTTGAGGGAGGCGGGAGGAGGGGTGGGGGAGAGGCTCTGTCTGTGATACCCGGAAGTCTTCGTCACGGCTTCGGCCAGACCTGCAACTAATGGCTGATGCCAGGCTCCAACAACGCCAGAGGGGAAGGAAAGGAATCCCATTGGCCAGGAGCCATCATGTTAAGCGCACCAGCCAATTGTCTCTTAAGAGGCCAGGCAGAGAGGGAGGGTAAGGAGGGAAGACCGAGGTTAGCTCTGGCCTCTGAACTTGCTCCCTGTCAAGGCTGTGTGTGTGTGTGTGTGTGTGTGTGTGTGGGCGCGCGTGCGCTTTGTTGTTGTTTTTCCAGAGGCATGCACAAGTAATTGTAAAAACCACAGAGTTTCCCCTTGGGGCTTGGGAAAGTGCCAGGCAGAATCCTGGCAGGATTGATACCGGAGAAGCCAAGTAGACTTCGACTGGGAGCCAAGACACAGAGGACAGCACCGGAGATGAAAAGGGACTGTAATTTGGGAGTGAAAAGTATTGAAAGGTCAGGATAATGACCCTCCCCCAAGAATGGCGGTACAACACGGAAGGCATGACGTGGTTTCCAGAGGACATTTTTAATCCGTCTTCCAGCTTTCACAAATAGAGTTCTGGATTGCACAGACATGTAAAGCTGAGCCACCAAACTTCCTGTTTTGTTTTTAGAGGCTTTTAGTGGAGTCAGTCAGCAGCCATCAAACATTACACTGAGAAATAGATCCTCAGCCTGAGAAACAGTCCACTTCCAAGTTCTAGGATAAGTAAAATCTGTAAAACCTGACAATATTTTCCTCAAACCCACCTGCAGCACCCCATGTTGGGGTGTGCGCAGCCTGCTGAGACTGAGAAAAATAATATTTCTCAACTCTACCAGAATAAGGCAAGCATTATATGCTGTATCTCAGACTAGTGGATCTTGGGGGTGGGTGGGTGGGGGTCAAGCAAGTGGGAGGACATTATGTGTAAACGCTTGCAAGGTTTCAAGGAGGCATCTGGCTGGCAATAGGGGAAATGGGATGTTGCACTAGAAAGGCATTTAACAATGTTCATTCTTAAAAAGAACTCCTAGATCTGTGTTTCTCCACCCTTAGGAACTTTAAGATATGTGGATTTCAACTCCCAGAATTCCCCAGCTAGCCATGGCTGACTGTGGAATTCTGGGAGTTGAAGTCCACACATCTTAAAGTTGCTAAGGTGGAGAAACACTATATTCATGGACTTTTTGCTGAAAATGAATAAAAATTAACTGGATTTACTAATTAAAAACGTGGGAAGACGGAACTGGCGTTTTGTAATTTGGGATTAATTAACAGGATTAATTAATTCTGTTTGTTTTCACTGCAAAGTAGATTGGGAATCACTTTTTTAAATACTATTTTCTTTCTTTTTTTTCTTGACCTATACTGTTGTTCACTCTTTTTTCTATCTATCCCATTTTTCTTTTATATCTTTTCCCCTATATTTTATTTTATTTTTCTGTACATTTTAAGTATAATTACTCTGTAGATTTTAACTATAATCTTTATATTCAGAGATATTTAGACATTTTACCTCTGAGGAATAGTTATTGGGGCCTGGAATAGCAATAATAATAGCATTTAGGCTTATATATACCCCATATTGCTTTATAGTAAGGGTCCCCAACCCCGGTCTGTGCACCAGCATAGAGGACCGGCATGCCAGAAACCGGGCCACGTAAGCAAGCGAAGCCCCATCCACGGCATGCAGTCACTCCCACTGGTCCACGAAAAAAACCTCTCTCTACAGAACCGGTCCCTGGTGCCCCAAAGGTTGGGGGCTGCTGTTTTATAGCACTCTCTGGTTGGTTTACAATGTAGAAGCCTTATTTGCATATTGTCCCCAACAATCTGGGCCCTCGTTTTATCGATCACGGAAGGATGGAAAGCTGAATTCACTTTGAGCCCCATCAGAATTGAACTCTTGGCTGTGGGCAGAATTTGCCTGCTGTACTGCACTTTAACCATTGCGCCACCAGGGCTCCTCCCTAGGAAGGTGCTACCTTTTGTTCTGTATGGCTGCCACTGGAGGCAACTTTGACTGTGTCACTCCTTCCCAGCCAGTAAATTATTGTAGGCAGGTTCTTAACACTCACCTGTGCCTGATAGATGCTGCCAGGATCCCGTGGTCCTAATCCCACGAAGCGGTTCGCAGGGGGTGTGCCTGGGGTGGAGTAGGCTGGGGAAAAGGTGAAGGAAGGAAGAAGAAAGTAAAGAAAAAAAAGAGAGAAAGAGGACAAGAGAATATTCTTTTTAAAACCAATCCACTGTTCCAATCAACAGTTATCATCTCGTGATGAGATCCATTCTCTGCCCCACACCCCAAATATCCTGTCTTTCTTTTGCAATTCCAGGTAGACCTCAACTTACGATCAATTGTTTAACAGCAAAAGCATGCCCATTTAGGAGAGTGGATTCAAACTTACGACCATGAGATTTGCTTAACAGACGGTTGGAAAAAAAAAATCAGGTCCATTTATGTGGTGCCTCGATTTATGACCACAATGAGGTACGACCAAAATTGTGATCCCAATTGTGGTTATAAATCAAGGACTACCTGTATCTGTCTTTTCATCAGTTGGCTTATTCTGAATATAGAGCCTTCAGCAACACACCAAGGGCTACTTTTCAAAAGTCAGAGGGTTTTGCATTTAATTTTAGAGGGTGCAACAAGCTCCTTAAGTACCTGCGTGACATTTTGGGGAACAGCAAAGGACAGGGTGCACACATTTTGCACCTCTGCTTTAAATTCTGGAATAATTTAAGACTTCCCTTCAGGGCCTCAGCCAAGTCTGGCTAAAGAGCAAACAGGAGAATGGCCATTATCAGAGATGATCTAACTGCAGCTCACACTGTATATCAGGGGTGTCCAACCTTGGCAACTTTAAGACTTGTGGACTTCAACTCCCAGAATTCCTTAGCCAGCAAAGCTGGCTGAGGAATTCTGGG